AAAAAAAAAAAAAATTACAAAAAAATACTAATGTTGCCCACAATGTGTAGGGCTTCGGGATTCTACTCAAATAGCCCAACTGCTTGCGATCTGACAGTTGGTTTAACTAATGGGTGGTTTGGGTTGTTGTGGAGGAGTTGAAATAATGTTATTATGGCATTATTTTGGTTACGCTTAGTTGCAAGTAAATACAGGAAGTGACGGAGGAGAAGGGCGAATGGGAAACTGCGTTAAAACTGATTAATGACACTACAAATTGAAAAATTCTCTAAATTTATTACATTTTATGCTTGCCATACACTACAAGAATTTTAAGTAGTTTACTTCATTTTTTATAAAAACGAATATATAAATGTTTAAAAAATCTTACAAAATTCAAAAAGAAACCAAAACAAAATATTTTTTTTTTATTTCCAAAATGGAAATCACTCGTCACTTTTGTAATAACACTTTTCTGCTTATTTTATTTCATTTCGATTTGCAACTTTAATTTTATTTTATTATACGTATTTATATACGTTTGAGAAACAATTTCCTTTTTTATCTTAAGAAAATCTGTAGAAAACTTTCACTGGCGTACGCCTTAAAGTTGGCTCGATATTTTTCTTAAGTTGATTTTTTTTTACTTTTTCTTCACATCAATTTTTCTAGCACTAAAATTCGTTGTTTTCGTATTTTTTTGGCCACATTTTTGCGTTTGTGTTATTTGTGTCGCGTTGTTCCGTTTTCGTTAAATAACAAAATATATTTCGTTGTTTTATTAAAATAAAGCAAAACTAAATTAATTTTATTAATTTTTTTTGTTGAGGAAAGTTAACACACACAAAACGCGTTCGAAGTAGAAAGAAGAAGAAACGAACAGCATTTGACATATTTTCGAGCGCAAGGCATTTAGAAATTTCCCAAATATACGCTAACTGTTATACCTGATGGGAAATTCGCCTGGTTGAATACCTCAAGTTATTTGTAAACAAAAGCGAAGTTTGCTAGGTGGTGAGTTCGTAATTAATGGTGTTTACGATATGTAAATCTAGGGTAATTTTTTTACACTAGATGCTCTTTTAATGCACTTTTAGTGCAATTTTATTTTTGATTGGTAAAACTGGTGGAAAATGTATAACACTTTGGATTAATTTATAACACTCTAGATATTTTGCCAGAGTAGCAAAACATTACCTTGCAATTAACAACTGTTTTATATGATTTGACAGATAAACTGTGATTTGATTCGATATATATAGTTGCGAAAAATGTAAATATCTACCAATACGACTAAAATAATCTCAGATTACTCTAAAAATGTTTAATTGCACAACAAACTTTGACAGATCGAGAGTAAATTTAATATAGATTTACCAATCGAAGACGCCATAATAATAACACACTATAGTTGTTTTCGTATTAATAAAAAATTGTAAAAATATATAATAATAAATTATTAAACTTTAAATTTGTTTATCCACCTGTATTCTATAATGATTTTATTGTTTATTTATTAGCTAGCTTTAGGTCACTTTTATTTCAATAAAAATTAAAAAAAATCCTTTATTGTTGTTTGTTAAAAAATTTTATATTTTGACTCTCTTTTAGAGTCATCATCAAGAGTATATTCTAATAAAAATTAATAATATCATATTCCATGTTAGTTGTCTAGTTGTCTATTAGTTGTCAGTGCAATATGGACAATAGACAACTAGACAACTAAAATGGAATGTGATATTATTAATTTTTATTATTTTTTTTAAGAACATACTCCTGATGATGACTCTGAAAGAGAGTCGAAATATAGAATTTTTTAATAAACAGCAACAAAGGATTTTTTTTTAATTTTTATTGAAATAAAAGTGACCTATTTAAATATTTTCAAATAAATATTTTCTTATCAAATTTTATATAGTAGATTGGAACAAGCTATAGAATAAAATACTTATAGGAATTGCGGGTTATTTCTAAACTTGTTCATGTTTTTTTTTTATTAAAAATACCAAGTTTTGTTATGTTAAGACTTTTCCGAGTTAGTGCATCTGGACACTTTTACTCTATGATAGCTGTGGGGATTCTGCAGAGTCCGCCCATCTCACTGACAACTTTGAGTATTCCTGATAATTTTCGTGATTCCTGATAATCTTCGGCTGCTCGAATGCTGAAAGTAGCACAAATCAACTTCTGTAATAGTTTATCAGACTACTCAACGATGAAGAAGAAAGACCTATTAAATTTTAGTCTCTACTCTTCTATACTAGGGTTCTTGCGAGGAATGTAGTAGCAAAATTCATTGAACTAGTTCATTTAAATGAAGAACCTTTAATTTAAACAAATCCTTTAATTTTTTATTCCGCAATAATTTTTTTTTATAAATACGCAGAATAGAATCTTTCAAATATAATAGTTAAATTGTTTATTTAGGTAAAAACTTCTTACAAAAATTTTTTTCACTAAAATATCGAACTAGTTCATTTTATCATAATTAATTTATTGTAAGTTTTAGAGCAAAATCCTCTTGTTTTTTAATTCCACTAATCTTGAAGAAGATTCACAAGCTAAGAATATAAATGATTGCTATGTTACAAGGAGAAGAAGAAGGAAAAAGAGGACTATTACAAATGATAAAAATAATATAATTTCGAGTAGATGTAGAACCATAAAAAATTAAATCAAATCTGAATCCAATTTAGTACACGAACACATCAATGAAATGGAATTATTAATAAATTAAATCTATTAAAACAGTTGAACAATTAAACAATTAAACAGAACGACGATATTATAAGATATCGTTGAAATTAACGATCATGTTTGGATAGAGAATTATGTAGTGTTGTGGATACCCTTCTAGCTGTATAGGGCTTTCGGTTTTCTTCTAGCGAAAACGCGAAGCAATAAAAACTATTAGGAGTAGTTTATTTTCAAAATAGTTTTTCCACTCCATTGAATGTCAAACTTTATTTTATTTATTTGTTATTAAATAAAAATAATTTTATAACAAAAATATTAAGTTCATTTTATTAATATATAAATTCAAATTATAGTCATAATATTTTTTAAATTGAGATAATAGCTTAAGATTACGCTAATTATAAATATAATATAATATAATATAATATACCACTTCCATTTCGAAGTATGAGAAATTTTATTTATAAATAAAAATCAATCCTTTTTATTATAAATTATTATGGTATAAAATAAAAGAGAAATTTATAGAATAAATTCTTACAGTTTCATGTACTTAATATATAGACATTAATAATATAACAAACTAACTGTTATATTTAGCAGAGCAAAAACATAACGTTC